GATGTCAGTGCACGTTAAATAACACCGAATTGTCTAAACTTCCGGAGCTCTCCACTGCTGCGTCTCTCGTACTAAAATGAAACATTTGGGACTTAGAAACTCACATATTAAATTATTTTATGGATGAGTCCAACAAGATAATAAAAAGTGCATAAATGCTATTTAAGCACGCCAGGCGAGTGAACATAAAATCACGGAAGCAGTTTCTGCCTTTATGTGAAATAGTGGGCCACTTTGGCTTACACTCGTAATCAGTCGATGGTCATCTCCGTGGTCAGATATTATGAAGCGCATGACACTTTATGTCTGCAAGAATTTTATTGAATGTTGGCTGCATTGCAAAGGGTAGTAATATAATGTTTAGATCAGTGAAGTTTTTATGTGATGGCAAATCATCTCATGCGTTCACTCGGGCAAACAATTTCATTCTCTTGAATATGCATATTATTGAGCAGCCGGCATACAAATAAGGTTAAAAAAACCAGCAAGGAAACATAGACCGCTGCGTAATACAGTGATTCTTTGTTGTTTCGCATCTAGTATGTTTAGGAACCAGCTCACACAAAAACCTTCGCTGCATCATGCTATTTAACAACTCAGTTAGTGAGCGTACATTTCAAACTTATGTATGGCGAGTAGCGTCATCACGATTAAAACTGCAGTCTTTTTTTTACTTGTGAAATTATACGACCGCATACATATAAGCCATGTGCTTTTTTAAGTAACTATTGTTTTATGTAGTATAGCAGTATTGCTTATCCTTAGTACGAACAGGTTTTCTAGCGCAAGTTGAACTGCTGCGTAATAACTAAAGCTAGGGAAGAAAACGGACACATCTATTACAAAAGAGCACCACACCCCGCATCCTGATGGCGTTCTGCTGGGGCAAAATATAATGAGACACGTGCAAAAATCACTTTCAGAGACCGAGAGAGATAAGAGGGATGCTATGCTGCTGAATATTAGAAAACAGGTTCAATTGCTCTTCTGTCACCATCCCGCCGCTTTTACTTGTGAATGGTTCTGAATCACAGGCGTGGTCGTAAGGGACCTCTCTTCCCTCCCCCCTTCCCCAATACCTCGCCTTTGCACTGTATGATCACGAGAGCCTCCGTGAGAGGTAGTCGGAAATGTCGGGGTGGCGCTATAATGAAAATTTACCCCTATCTTTCCTTGCTTTTTTAAAAGGAGAACTGTATACGCACGCTTGTGCTCTCAATAGTTACCTTTAGTAAACACGCTTACATGCAAACATCTTTGTAAATTGCGACGAAGCAGTCATTGTGAAATAGTAAAATATGGCGAAAAAATAACAAAATTAAAGTGCAACGTCCAGAGATGGCTTGTTTAGTTTGTTTTGGGAGTGTACTACTTCACGAAAGCTTATTTGCACATCGTGCAGAAACTCGCACGACCATTACATTCACAAAAAAAAGTATGTAAAGAACTCGCAGTGTCTTACATCATTTCAAAGCAAAGAGCTGGAATAAGTAAACTAGTGTACTTCGAAGACCCACTCGCATGCTATAGGGTGAATAGATCGGGTCCTGAAGGTAGGACAGTATAAACGTCGAAATAATATTTTCAAACAAGCCTTGTTTCTGAGCCAGAAAAAGTGGAATTTATTGCTCTCGTGTATCGTCTGGTTATCATTTTCTTTCTTCTTGACACTTTTCGAAGAAATATGCATTTTTATGAAGTTGTCGTTTATGTTATCTCAATTAGTATAGTTCACATGCTTCTTTCGGTTGTGGTTACTTTTAAGCACAACATAATGTTCTCTTTTAAAATACCTTAGCTAGGTTCTACAAGAATAAATAAATAAATAAATAAATAAATAAAGTCCCGCCGTGGTGGTCTACTGGCTAAGGTACTCGGCTGCTGACCCGCAGGTCGCGGGATCGAATCCCGGCTGCGGCGGCTGCATTTCCGATGGAGGCGGAAAGCTTGCAGACCCGTGTGCTCAGATTTGGGTGCACGTTAAAGAACACCAGGTGGTCGAAATTTTTGGAGCCCTCCACTACGGCGTCTCTCGTAATCGTATGGTGGTTTTGAGACGTTAAACCCCACATGTCTGTCTAACCTTTATTTAGGCGCGCAATAAAATAAGCTGATATCTTCTAAATGTATCACCACTATGACGCGCCCCTAATGACATCGTAACCATTCAACAAGGCTGTAAAGGCTGTTTCGTGCTTTTTGAAGTATGCGCGACCGACCTTGATTGGTTGGCTTTGATGTAGCTCGATACCACACACAGACAAGAGAAGGCCCATCACGATGCTTTGGCTTCTCAGTGTGTATTCTGAAGCTGTGTGGTGTGTGGATATGTGCATTCTCGTGTCCGTGGGTCGTATACCCCGCTACATCTGAGTTGCGCAGATAATACACCAACAAGCCCGTATTGCAACCTTTGGCTGCTCGGTGTTATCTGCGCACGTGCACGTATTCATTCATCTTTCTTACATCTCTCATCCACCATTATCCGAGCAAATTAAGTTGAAATATCGAGGCGGAAATGCTGTAGGCCCATGTGCTCAGATTTGGGTGCAGGTTAAAGCACCCCAGGTGGTCACAATTTCTGGAGCCCTCCACTACAGCGTCTCTCATAATCATATCGTGGTTCTGGGACGTTAAACCACACATTTCAATCAAGTTGAAATGTCAACCTCATGAGCCATTGCAGCCAACAGTGGTAAAGCCAGCGATGAAATTTGTCAGGATAACAGACGTGCACAATGAGCTGTTGCCTGAACTTGGTATTCATTGGGCTGCATATACGATGGGCTGTGATAGTTCGTTGAGAAAGCGATTGCCATGTGTCTGTGTTCCTTGCCTCTCTGTACATATACATTCTAAGCTTTACACTCTCACTTTGTCTTTAATTGACGATCGGCAAGCTTAGAGATGCTGGCCAGGTGCTTTACTAAATCGGACATCATTGCTTTTAATCTGTGAGTATTTCTTCAAATCCTGTTGTGAACTAAATAGAGAAGCATGCAAGGTGAATGAATGGAACCTATAAGCAACAAACATGGTTCGAACGGTTCGCACATCAAATCCCGATGAAATTCAGTTGGGACATGAGTACAGATTTAGAATCATCGTTTAGGTAACATCAGGTGCAAGCCTTCATAATGATATCAATATGTTTTACTAAAAGCTGATCCCGGTATGCAGAATACAACTCGGCTCATTTTCTCACAATCCTATGAGTCATCAAAAAAAAAAAATCTGTGGAATTGGTGACCACGAGTTCAAACGGTTCAAATGGGGTTTACCGACAGCTTTCGAGAGCTAGAGCTTCATGTGGCATTGCCTGCCGATTCATGGAAAATCGGCATCTTGCCAATATTGCTTGCTTTGTTCTTTCTGTTCCTCTCTTGAAAAATTTATTCTATCATTCGGAGGAGCGTGATACCGACGCACTTGTCTTGCATTTTGTTAGGGTGTTGTTTGAACAGAGTTGTGCAGAACTAATCAAGGATACATATATGAGGCAGGTGAGCTCACCACCTTCAGACTCAGTGATGGCGACTGTACCCGTACAAAATGACTTCTCGCATCCGTAACCTACAGCACCAAATTGCCTGATAAGACAGATACTTGCGTTAGTTGGTGATTAGGAATCAACAGATCTGCACCACGCAAGAAAACGAGTAGTTACAGCGTAACAGGAATAAACGTGGACAGGAAGGGGAACACCCAAATGCTGTTACCATTGCGACAATCTTGAAATCACAGAAATATATTGCGTGAAAGCGCAGGAGCAGAAGCTTGCCTATAAATGAATGATTGCGCCTCATGTACAACTATATATTAGATTACCATGTATAACGTCTTCGTACATCTACAGCGGTATACAGTTACATGCCTGGGCGGCGGGCAACATGGAGACAAATTGTGAGTTATCCGACATTCTGGCATAAGCATTTCGCTCCTCTTAGCAATTATCTCTGAAGTTTAAGCTATGCGAAATGCTTATAATGAAAAAGACAGATTAAAGATAATAAAAATGTGATGCATGTGTAACCTCTATAATGTACTAATAAGCGGCGTAGCGGTACGATTATTTCGGGAGACGGCGTGGGCTCGACTGTATTTGTGAGTGTTAATGCGTTTTGTAAAAATTTTAAACTAAAAATTCTGGGGTGGTGGTGGGGGGGGGGGGGGGATTGAAACCTCCAAACCACTTCCTGGCTGTGGAACTGGTGCTGATGCCTGAAACGGTGAACGCTTCATTTTTCTGCGCGCTTTTTTTGGAACTATACGTTTTAAATAAACCTCTCTAATATGTCGGCAAGTTTCTCACGTGATCATGTGATTCCCCGTCATCGCAATGACGAATCAAGACGGCTACATTGTGATATTATATTGTCAAATAAGCGAAATAATCCCTAGTTCTTCGCTTGTATTCAGAAAACAACGCTGAACATTCACCCTATCAATATGAATGGTTCATTTTTCCTACTTTTTTCCTGACAGGTACACAGGCTCTTTTGTTTGCGTTGGGTCGACGTCACTGTAGGATCTGCAACGTAGTGATAGTCAAACCACTAAACTAATTCTCCGTAAAATTACATGGAGCTCCGCCTACAACCTGATAGAAAAAAGGACCTTCAGTAATCTTTTTGGTCATTCTCTAAGCATGATTGTCCTGACCCGACCAGACAGATTCCTGCAGGAGTTCGGTGTGGTCGAACCAGCAGTATAAACTGTTTCGTTGTAGTGTCCTAATGTAAAATCTGTGGACGTGAGTCGCGATGAGTACACTATGCATATTTATAGGAAAAAATCATAAATGTCAAATATCAAAGAAAGAGCATGCCTTTATAAGTAGCGGTTTGGCGTAAGCAAGTCCCATTCTTTAATATAAGCTTCGTTTAGTGTCTTCTATATACCAAAGGGGTACATTTGGCAGCAAGCAGACAAGTTGTTTCTTTGTGCCGTGAATGTACCCATTTTCTGTTCGTCTAGAAGATGTGCTCAAGGCAGCTTACCCGCTAAAGCGATGTCCATGCTCTCTGCAGCGTTTCCTAACAGCGATTGCCCATGGATGCTTGGAGATCCCGAGGAGTAAGGCATAGGACCCAGGTCCTGTGGCAGACTTTGTATCTGTGACACGGGGCTTGGAACGGGGCTAGGCGGGGGTTGCTTGATGTATTGCGAACTATGAGTAACGGTCGGATGCGGCGGGCAGCTACTCCAGGCAGCTGACATAGTGTCCATGGAGATGCTCGGCGCCGCGGCTGAGTACATGGACGAGTTCAAGGGCAGGTCACCAGAACCAGCGCTGGACATGGGTGTCATGGGCTGAGGCAGTGAGCAATTGGCCAAGTAGTGGTGACCCATTGGCCCCAGCGAGTTCTGTCCTGTAGACGCAAAACTGCAGTGAGACGTGGGAGCCAGTGCCGCTGTAGAAGATGGCATCATTGACTGTGGGTCGGTCGTCATGTAGGCTTGATGGTGGCTCGTTGCAACTTGAGCATGGCCTTGTAGGACACCAGCTTGGTGTTGCTGCTGGCTCAGTAAGTCGTACGGTGTTGGGGGAAGGAGGCTTGCGCTAGAAGGCGTTGGGTAGAACGTTGTGTAAGCTTTCATTGTCTGACATTTCCTCCGAAATCCTCGGGGCCTCCGTCGAAAGGATCCCTCCTCGAACATTAGTTGGCTGCTGGGATCAATTGTCCAGTAGTGTCCTTTTCCTGGGCGTCCGAGTCCTTTGGGTAGCTTGATGAAACACTCATTTAGAGAAAGGTTGTGTCTCACCGAGTTCTTCCAGCCTTGATAAGGTCCTCTGAAAAAGGGAAACCTTTCTTGAAGAAAGTTGTATATCTCGTTGAGGGTCATTCGCTTGGCAGGGGAGCTCTCTATCGCCATGAATATGAGGGCGATATACGAATAAGGAGGCTTCTCCTGTCTTCGTACACCCGCTCCAGATTTCTTTGTCGTGGACACAACTTTCTCCTCAGCATCGGGCTCCGCGGAGGCGTTGAGACTGGCATTGTTGCTCGACGTGCAGTTGTTTGTTGTGCTCACTGCAGGCATACTGATGGATAGTTCGTCCAGGCGGGTGTGTCCACACAATTGGTTTGCACTGTGGCTGCTGTCCATTGTGTTAGGCCCTGGCATCTCCACCTTGACCATCTTCATACCGCAGCTGCGCCAAGGCAGCGCCCGCTCCCCACTAGATTTCACGAACTTTCACCCACAAAACCGATCACCTAGGCTCGCAGCACCATGCGGCCATTGTTGCTTCTGCTTGTCGCACCTGTCACAATGCGGGCGCGGTATCTAGAGTCACGAGGTTGAAACCGCCCGACTCACTTGTCCTGCGTCACGCGAGAGGGGAGCCCTGAGGCGAGGCAGCTGACGCTTGGCGCACTTGACTCGCTCTAACACGCAGTGGGGACGGGGGAGGCTGCCCGTGGGAACGAGCCAGCAAAACAAGAGCAAAAGGGGCGGGCCTTACCCACATTGGTCGCAGGGCTAATCGTAAATCAGGACGGCCCGACCGTTTCCCCCGAGTGGGCGGACGCACTCGGGGGAGGGCACTGAGCGGGGCGCGCCGCCGACGAGTTGCCCCACGCTGCCGCATGCCTGCTTCTGCGCGGGCCCAGACGGTTTCCGCCGCTGACGCCGAACCCCCTGTTATCGCTCTGCGGCTACACTTCGCGTTAAAGTCACTGACACCTCCAATTATTGCCTTGCTGCTGCCGTTGCGGCCTAAGAGCCAACACTACCCAGCCCTTTGCAAAAATAGGCGCACACAGAGCAGTCCTGCGTTGGTCCGGAAGAACGTGTTTGTATACTTTGCAGCCAGAATCATCGCAATATTGCTCTCGCAGAAGAAAATACGTGGTCCAGGGGTACTCTTTAGATTTTGCCGCTAGCAGGAAGCGGCAGGACCAAGTTGTAGCTTTTGACACCTTCAACGGCAAATACGTCCCACTTGTCATCACATGTCTTCAATTTAGAAATAGTATCGAGGCAGTATTTGACACTTTATAGAGATTTTATACAAGGAACTGGTAATTTGAAGAAAAATAACAGCTACACGTTTCAAATAAGCCCTCGTTTATTATCATGTGCGCTGAAATCTAGGCATATGTACTGGAGTCAAGAATAGGGGTATGTGTTTGTATCAGAGCGTGTGCATCAAATTGTAAAAAAGCCTTTTCTACGGCACGCCTTCAAGATGTCACCCGCTGTGGTAGCTTAGCCGTCGTAAATGTTGGCTGCTAAGCTTGTGCTCGCGGGTTCGATTCATGAACACAGCGAGCGCATTTCAATTGGGAGGGGGAGGGAGATGCTCTAACAACCGTGTACTTTGATTGGTATGCGCCTTAAAGAATCTCTGCTGGTCAAAGTTAACATACGAAGTCACTCCACTACCTCGTGGAATGCCTCGTGTTGTCTCGTAGTTTGGGCCACTATAGTACAAACCAATACGGACCGAACCCACAAAACGTTTCCTTCGAGCTCTTTGCCATGAGCCAGCCGGCTTACTTATGATATGTTTGTAAACACAAGTATTTTTTTTCCATCTAAAACTACTTGTTTATGCATGCATTATTAAACCTTCGCAGAAGTTGATTCACACGGTATCGTAGAAGTTCATTCACATGGTATCACACTTGCTTACCACACGTAGAAACGTTGATGTGTTCGAAATGGTTTGACGTGTATGCAGAGTGCCCCCGGTAGAGTTTAAAAAGATGCGGACGCACTTTTTGACCAAATGAATGTTGCTGATTGTTGCATAGAGTAAGTAACTCTTATTTCTGTTGAGCCTAAATGCTTAATTTGGTCAAAATATAATCAACTTCTGGGCCAACGAAGCTGGTTAAAATTTCTAATAAGGAAGTTGCAGATCGACTTGCGAGACGTTCGAGTGGATAGTTTCTCGTTCTCTGTCTATTGAGTATTATTGGGAACAGTAGAGTGCGTATAAGAAATAAACGCTAATATTTGTATATGATCGCAAGTGAAAAAGACTCACATTTCATTTTATTGCTTAGCACTGTTCATGTACGCTGTTTGAAAAGAAAGTCCTTGGTAAAATGGCTGCCACACAACTGTAAAATTATGTGAGGTGTCTCAACACGGTTGCCTGTCTCCTGTCTTTGTTTTATCTCATCTTAGGCTGATTGATTGAAGTGGCCTCTGAAAAAAATAGCGACCCTCCTTGTTGAATTCCCCACAATAACCAATATTTTATTATTGCTTGGAATGAATGCCAGATAAGCTGGTAATTTCACAATTGTGAAGCAGTAATGTTATAACTTGAAAAATTAAAAGCCACAGCTTTGCCACAAAGGGGAAGCAATGAATGCGATAACAACAAACTGGAAGGTCACGCGCAGAATGGCAATTAGATCAAAACGTGCCCCGCGTTTCTCACGCACAAATGACGCCTGAAACGTATACTTACTGGTACAGATGAACGCGAATAAGCGTCTCAGTTGTTAGTTCGCTGTGTCCGAAAAGCTCGCCCTTTTCGCAAACGGAGGCTGTGCAAAGATTGCAGTGACCTTCGTGTCTCCTCGTAACTACAACAGGATCGTTCCAGTGCATGCCCAACGCTTGCCAAGACGTATGATCCTCCCCCACCGGGAGATAAGCGCGCGCGAGATAGATCATCCACTCCTGTCATCTCCGCGGGCCTAAAATACGCGTGAGGGATGAGAGCCGCCGCGCGCTCATTGCGCCATCTGCAGATGATGCTGAAAACATGATAGTTCCGCCCCCCCCAAGATGCCCGCCAACAGCGGTAAGTGGTAGATATAAATAGCTTTCCGTTTGAACGTTGAACGACGTGTTCCTCGGTGGCTCAGTGGTTAACGCCTCGCACATTCACGACGCGCAGGTCCCACGTTCGAGAGTCCGCACGGCAGTCTTTTTCTGTATTTTTTATTCCTCTGCTATCACACACACACACACACACACGCACATATATATATATATATATATATATATATATATATATATATATATATATATATATATATATATATACTCCCACGCTTAATTCACATATAAACCCTATAAAGTTGCTGGGGGATAGCTGTCGTGGTAGCTCAGTGGTAGAGCATCGAACGCGTCATTCGAAGGTCGCAGGTTCGGCTCCTGCCCCCAGCGAGTTATCTTTTCACCCACTTTTCTTCGTATTTACATTACAATTCTGTCTAATATTTTCCCCTATACTTTCCTTGGCATTATTGTCTGTTAGATCTCATTAATATTGTGTAAAACACAGAAAAACGAGCCCTTAAGTATACACTTCTTTCCTTGATATATATATATATATATATATATATATATATATATATATATATATATATATATATATATATATATATATATATACACGGTTCGTGCCATCGACGCCAGCGGCGAAATCAAGCCGAGAGTGTCCATATAATTCCTATAATTCATATCGCAATAAAATGAGCTCCGTGAGCAAATTTCATATTGTGTTTTCGAAAATCTGGTTCGAAGCTCACTGAAGATTCACGACATAGAAAAGCCCGCTTGGTGAACTTCGCGTAAACATAAGTTCAGAAATAGTACTTTCTTTCTGTACATCGGTGTTTTTCTTATCACTACCGAGATACATTTAGTGCTGTTATTGCAGAAACAAAGCGTAAACTATCGTTATTCACACACTATTTTAGCTATTGCTATTGCAGCCACAGTAGACCGTTAATATATATGGGCTGCATGCCCCACTAAATAGCTTTGCATTATTCTTTTCTTCGTAAAATGTTTTATATTCTGTTTTTTTTCATTATGTAATTTTCAAGATATCAGCTACCTAATTTTTGGCCTACTTGTGGGGTTGTTTAAATCCGAAAGCTGAAAAAGAGCGTTCCAGTTAAATTGAGGACGACGCAGCGAGCGATGGAAAGAAAAATGATAGGTGTAACCTTAAGAGACAAGAAGAGAGCAGGGTGGGTCAGAGAACAAACCGGGGTTAAATATATCGTTGTTGAAATCAGGAAGAAATAGACGGGGGGGGGGGGGGGGGCACGTAGCGCGTATGACAGGATAACCGCTGGTATAATTAGGCGCAACTGACTGAATTCAAAAAGAATGCAACCACGTGAGAGGAAATCAGAAAATTAGGTAGTCAGTTGAGATTAAATAAAAAAGTTTTCAGGTATAACGTGGCAGCAGAAAGCACTCGACTGCCCCGCCACGGTGGTCTAGTGGCTAAGGTACTCGGCTGCTGACCCGCAGGTCGCGGTTACGAATCCCGGCTGTGGCGGCTGCATTTTCAATGGAGGCGCAAATGTTGTAGGCCCGTGTACTCAGATTTGGGTGCACGTTAAAGAACCCCAGGTGCTCAAAATTTCCGGAGCCCTCCACTACGGCGTCTCTCATAATCAAATAGTGGTTTTGAGACGTTAAACCCCACAAATAAATCAGAAAGCACTCGACTGGGTTGATTGGCAGAACGTGCGAGAGGCTTTTGCCTTCGGGTAGACTTAGTGAGGCTGATGATGATGACATTGTGGTACGTGCTGTGTTGTAGAAACATAATCGTCAAAGTTAATATGTAGTCCCCCACTATACGACGTGCTTCGGAGTGATGCCGTTATTTTGTCGCGTAAAAATCCAGAGTTTATTCTTTTTTAATTGATCGGTATTGTACAGATCGGCTTTATGTGCATCTGCTTTTCTGCAAGTAGCAATGTAAACATTAGCGTGTCTCACTACATAGGTTCCTGAAGACACGACACATATGGCAAAGCAGTGAGGCTTACGTGTGCGCAGGAAATAAAATGCACTATGTCCTGTCAGAGCTTACACCAGCGCGGGTCACAATTACCAGACTCGCCGTGGCAAAGAAAAAAAAAAAAACGCTAGGCCTGCGTGGAATAAGGCGCAGCACAGTCACAGTGAAAGCTATATAGAAGGGCAGCCTTTCAGAGCCTTTCAAAACACTCATTGGGTAACGATTCCAAGCACACTTTGCTTGATACTCACTAGGGCATTATTATATAATAAAATTTTTTGGTTGTAGGCCGGCATTTGCTATGTTATTGTTCATCATTCTTCTGAGAAACATCGTATCCGCTATAAACTTGCGAAGAATTTTGCGCAAATCGTTCATGCAGTGGATGACTACGATGCGGATTTATGGCTGAAGTGGGTATGCCACACAGTTAATTGGGGGACAAGAACAAACTTTTGTATTGGGTTGGGGCGTTCGACGACCCACTCGTTACGCTATTCGCATTGTGTGACGACTGGTACTTTTTTCGCTTTTTTTTAAACGCTTTATAAGTCGTATTAAC